ATGTCAAATGAGCACTTTCTGTCTTATCTTGCTTTATTCTCTCTTCCTCTTGAACACAATGAGAAATGAGCTCATTGAGAGACCATTTCTCCTTAATGCAGTTGTAACTGACTTTAAATTGATTAAATTGAGAAGGAAGAGAGATCAAAACTAAATACACAAGCAATTCCTCAGGTAAAATAAGCTTTAGTGCACTTAGTTTTGAAGCAATGTGAGACATTTCCAAAATGTACTCCCTTATGTTCCCTTTGCCTTTATACTTCATGGAAACAAGAGTGGTCAAAGGAGTACTAGTTTCCGCCTTTTCGTTTTTAGCAAAATGCTTTTCAAGTTCGGCAAGGAACGATTTGGCATCAGCTTCATCAGACATTGTGCCCCTGAATGATTCTGGAATTGCACGTTTCATGATCATTAGACTCATGCGATTTGAGCGTTCCCACCTCTCCATCTCCCTCTTTTCATCGAGGGTAGATGTGTCCTTAAGAGCGGCGGGTTTCTCAGTCCGAAGTGCAAGGTCTAGATCCATGCAACCGAGAACGATCATAACATTCTCTTTCCATTCCTTAAAATCCGTGCCGTTAAGCACTGAAATTCGTGCCGTTAAGCACTGAAATTTTAAGCACTGAGGATGCTATTAATATTAGCAGATATTGTAGCAGCAGAATTGTTGACTGAAAGAGAACAAAAATAATATAAATGATATGCTCTAGGAACTGAAATTAATTTGATAATTACTTTTAAATTTAAATATTAGCAATCCCCATCACAAGATACCTAGCGCAACATCTAATCTTGTCTTTGGACATAAATTAGACTTGCAAGTGGTACTCTTGGTGTGATAATAAAATTTTGATAATAAAATCATGTCAAATATTAAGCCTTTCTTTGGACCGACTTAATATTCACACGAAAAACTTCATAATCATCACAAATTTTATTATCACAAATGTACTTAAATTTCGGCCAAATAATAACCTTCCTTTGGGCCGATTATTATCCGCATGAAATAAGAAAGTACACAATCATCTTAATATATGAGTTAATTAATTTCAACAAGAGAGGCTACTTTGGCAGCATGTTGTATCAATTAACTAACTCAAATATTAGACATGCTAATATTAACTCGAAAATTTGAAAAATAAAATTGGACATATTTTTCTGAATCACATGCAAATGTATCATGTATAACGATAATTTTAAAACTCGTACCCAATCGTCGTGCGATCGCAAAATAGGGTTTATACATCCTATAACACATAATACATAATTTTTCAAGCCGCAAATCATGATCACCAACAAAAGTAATTTACTTCCAAATATTCAATTCTAATAGAACTGACTTTGACCGTAATCACATATAAGTATTTAATTACCAAAATCGTCAATAATCACATATATGTACTAAATCACCAAAGCCATAGGAAATTCCAAAACTGAATCACCGTAAAAGAAACATATCAAAATTTTAATTTGATACTCATGTGATTGGGTTGATTCAAAATTGGAACTAATATAAATCAAATAATAAAAGTGTATGAATCACATTTTAATTTGATGGCTGAAAATCTGGAAGCATCAAGAACAAACACCTACCGTACGAACTAAGAAATTGTGAATCAATTTCAATCACATCAGCCACACCCAATCAACAAAATAGATTAATAAATAATAATACCTCCTAAAATGATAAGAATTTAGCAATCTAATACCACCTGACTCCCGATTAATAACAAGAAGGAAAATAAACATTCAAACATAATCGATCGATCGGCACGATATATTGAAAATTAAATAAAATTGTTGATTCCACAGTTCCATTCATTCAATATTGCGATTTGAATTTAGCAGAAGCACCGAAAATTAATGTCAAAACGTTGGATCTCAAACAGATTTGACTCCAACAGATTTCAATCATAAATGATTGGCATGATTGAAAATAAGAAGAAACATCCGATTAAAACTCAATTGTTTCGTTTAAAATTGAAACAAAAGTATGTATACTCCAAATAATTCAATATGAAGGAGGCTCCGATACCAATTGTTGGAATAAATCCGATAATAATTTAATCTTCATATTGAAATTATCTAGAGAAATTAACTGAGCGGAAGCGTACCTGACTCCATGGGAGATGATGTTTAGGGATCCGGGAGACGGAGGCTAGGGTTTGCGTCTTCTAGCGGATACACGCCCTCGGGAATTATCTCTCTAGCGATGGGATGCAGAAAGACGGAATGACGTGTTCAACTAGGGAGCATAACCCTTTATTTATAGAGAGTGCTTAACCCTAATCAGCCCATCATTGATTAGGTCAAGCCCATGGGTCTCTACACGTTTGGGCCCTATACCTTATTAGATAACTTATTAGCCACTTAAATTAATATCCATAGGACCACTAATTTTTGAGCCTAAATATAAAATAGCATATAACATACAATTAAACCCAATAAATAATATACTGTGAATATTACATGTAGTATAAGTCCAATAATCTAACAGATGTCAGGCTAAATGAACCAAATAGGAGGTGCCTTCAGGATTAGCGCCTGAATCCTCCACGCATTTACTACAGATATATACTCTCCGCCCTAGAGGTGAATCAAGGAGTTTAGGAAGCATATATCCATTTCTTTGACATCTATGATGCATAAAACTAGTCCAAAATGAATTGTTTTCCTTCAAGTTCAACCACATTTTTATACAATAGTTCAACCACAGTTTAAGAGGTAAGCATGTTGAAAAGAATGGATGGACCTACTGCCAAGACCTCCCACCTCATAAGAGGTAACATAATGAGCATTTAATCCATTGAAAAGAGTTTTTATCATTTAACTCACCCAAAAGAAGGCAGTCTTTTTATTTTCAAGAACTGATATAATTTTCTTTTGAAAATTTATATATATATCTATAATTAAAAATATAAGATATTTATAATTCATATTTATAGATTAAGTGTCCGTTTGTTAACACTAAAATCGGTGCTTCTGCTTAATTTTATGAGTTCTAGCTGAAGTGCTGGATTGAATGATTATTCTGATTTATGAAAATTATATATTCAGATTTCGGCTTGGCCATGGGCTATGGAGAGGACTGGATTGGGTTGTGGCTAATGGGGGCAAGGGCAAGGTGGTGGCGGTCAAGTGGTGTGGATGGGGCAGCAGTGGTGGTTTGGGATGGGCAGGGGCGGCGATGGTAGCTTGAGCTAGGGAGAGGGATGTCACTAGACTGTGGCGGCGTCATTATAATCGGTGTCACGTGGCTGGGGCTGTAGATGGGGTGGCTGCACTATCGTTGGCGCCGGTGGCCGGCGGGCGGTGGTGTCACTGAGCAGAAATGATCATAGTGACATGTTTCACGGTGATAGACATTCAAAAGTGACAAAAAATCTGGCAATAGCTTAAATTTTTCATACTAACATTCAAAAGTGACGTAAAAATTTCGCAGTGACATAAATATTTGGAAAGTTACATCAAAATTTTCCATATATATGACCTTTTTAGCAACGCTTTTGTCCTTTAATAAAAATGGTCACATATTTGAAAATTGGCTTTAATTTAGTAATATTCAAGGAAAAAGCTCATATATTAATTATGTACATTAGCTATATATGATTTAAAAAACACGTCAAACCCTATGTGTTATGAATAAATAATTATTCATGTGCAAACCTCCACAATAAATAAATTTAGTTGTCAAATAAAAAATGAATAATATTTTTGCATAATTTACATATTTTGACGAATTTACTTATACATTCAATCATAATATTAAGACTAATCTATGTTGCAAGAAAACGTTAAAAATCCCGGGCGAAACGAAAAACGAGAAACATCATCTTTTAGTAAAAATACAACTATTTACAACTATTTGGAGAGTTTACGAAACGAAAATGTACTCATTCCCGAAAGTTTTCGTGTTTCATAGAGACTAATGATTTCCAAATTGTTAACCTTCTTCATGGAGACCAGACTTCAACAATTATAAAATACGCAAAAATCAGACATTTATCAGACCAATCCAGATTAGTTCAGACCAGACTAAACTTAAACAGATGAGATCAGATTCAAATAAATCATACTAGATTTTTTTGAACCGGAACTAAACCACTTTATTAATTTAATAAATCATTCGCCACTTGGCTTACAATACAATCCGGTAATAAACTATATCTCCAAACATGATTTGAGATGGTAACATGCGTTCTTGCTAAGGTATGAGCCGCACGATTCGCAGATCGATTACAAAAAGAGATCACATAACTACTCTTTTTTAAGAAGAAATCGGATGTCATCAATGATATGATCTAAATAACTGATACCTCCCCTGAATGGACACCTCTGACTATCACCTGTGCATCCGTCTCAATCTCAACGTTGTCCCAACCTTCCGCGATAGCTTCCTGCAATGCCTCCCGTATCCCCATTGCTTCCGTTTCTGTCGGTGACCAATCCACCTTGCTTGAGGCTCCACCTGCTCTCATAAAGTCCCCCTGATCATTCCTGGCAACCCAGCCCCATGCTCTAACTCCCCGGGATGATCAACCGCCGCATCCACATTAATCTTGATACCTCTCTCCCTTGGCCTTTTCCGGCGTTGAGCCTTCGCTCTCCCTCCGTTGCTCGGCTTCACCCCAGTGTGTTGGGCATCCCTCCAAGCTTGTAGCACACTTGCGCTGCAATTGATGACACTCTCCGTATTCTGCCAGTTGTTCTCCTATACCAACTCATTTCTTCGTTTACACAAGCCCCCAGTCATACTAGATTAAAATAGACAAATCACAAAATTTCAATCCAATTAAAAGTATCAACCCATATTTTATTAGCCCTACCTTCATACTTCCTCCGTTCTTTAAAACTTGCAACGCTTTCCTTTTTTGGCAGTTTCAAAATAATTGCAACATTACTCTTTTTGGAAAATTTAATTGGGTACAATGACTTTAATATCCTTCTTGAAATCAATTACTTCTCTTTAAACGTACCATCCACCTTCTCGCATTCCAAATAATTCTCTCTCTCTCCCCTATCTTTCTCACGCCTCCACCTCCCCTTTTATCTCTTCAATTTCTCCACCCACCACCATCCTCTTTCTCTAATCTTTACTTTCCTCTTCATTTCAATTTTAGGAAATTAGATCTAGATTTTACCCCTTTCTCTTATCTTCAATTCAAAATCCATTTTGGCCGGCGAAATGATCTGTGCCGATTTGTCTGTTCTCCCCTGCAGCCTTGTAGCAGTGAAGGAAGAATTCGGGTGATTCCACACACCGACTCATGTTCTCGTAGCAAGAGAAGCATGTCCACAATCATCGAGGAAGAAGAGCACAAACTTTATGATTTCCAGGAGAAAACAAGCTCGTTTGTAGATGAACTTGAAATAGGTAACTAATTTTTTTATGTTTAGTGAAATGTAATTTGTTTGTTTCTTTTTGAATAATCTGCTCATCCATTTGTGTGCAATGGGTGGTGTGTTTTGTTTTATTTTTAATGAAAGAAGCTGTGAATTATAATTGCCCGTATATGGTATAAGAAGTGAAAACTTGTCCTGGAGGGAGATTTATTTTTTTTGGCTTTTTGAGTTCCCTCCAAATCTGAATTATTGTGATGGCATAGTTCCGTACTTGCGTAGAAGAGATGATGACTTAGTTGTTTTATTTTAAAATATTATGTGGTGTACAGCAGACATGGGTCTTTTATTGTGGGGTCTAAAAGTTGCTTTTGTACTGTAGCAACTCTATCACACTTCTACGGAAAAGAACCGCGCAGTACTAACTAAAAGGGCTTTATTGGAACAAATATTATTTTATTCGTGTTTCTTAATATGTGTGCCCAGCCTCATGTTGCAAGATTTCTAGAAAGGAGGAAGTATTTTGTTTGACTTGTCAACATTCAAAACCCCGCATTCCCCTGTTCTCCTGTTAGGTTTGGTCAACAAATGCATCGGACTCTTTGGTAAACCTCGGCCTCTGCACAAACTGTCTACCTGTGGAACCTTTGCAGATCACAAGATATATAATGTAGCTTTTGGTATACCAGAAGAGAAAGAAGAAGCACAGAAACGGCGCCTCTCCGTTTGTTTTCTTCTTTCTGTGGATGCGGTCATGGCTGCGGTTCTTGGATTTGCTGTCAATACGTCATCCTGCTCTGCTTTTTGTACTGCCAAATCAAATCTTTCTTTCTTACCCAAACGATGGTTTCGCAAAAGGGCTGTCTTTGTTGTGGACTCTCCTCCTGCTTCTATTGATTTCGTTTCGAGAATTTCCTTCAGAGCCACCAGGAAACTTCATTCTCTTAAGGTAAAGACTTGAACTTTATTACCTTAACTAAGTAACACTGGAAATAGTACAATCCCTGAAGGCCTGAATCCAGTGCTGGACCCAGCGTTTAGTGAAATTCTTGGCCGGAAGCGGGTCTCGAATTAATATTCAAAATAGTTAGTCAAAGATTGTCAATGTATTTCCCAGAAAGCAGGCTTGCATGTCTAATATATATGTATTTCTGGAAATTAAAAGCCCTGTTCTTTGTAAATTCTTATGAAATCTTGCCTCATGCTGCTCAGGCTCTTTCAACCATTGATCAAACTGAAGCTCCAAAATGGTGGGAGAAAACTGCAGGGCCTAACATGATTGATATTCATTCTACAAAAGAATTCTTGGATGCATTAAATCAGGCTGGAGATAGACTAGTTATAGTTGAATTTTATGGCACATGGTGTGCTTCTTGTAGAGCATTATTTCCCAAGGTAAACCTTATGTCACTAGACACTTTACTTCTTTCTTTGAGTTTCATTTTTCTTGGGCATTGATTTTTTTGTTTGTGCAGCTTCGTAAAACTGCTAGGGAGCACTATGATATTGTATTCCTTCAAGTCAATTTTGATGAAAACAAGCCTATGTGCGAAAGTTTGGATGTAAAATTCCTTCCATATTTCCACTTCTATCGTGGGGCTGATGGACAGCTAGACTCCTTTTCTTGCTCACTTGCCAAAGTAAGTAAAAATATCATAGTTCATTTATTTTTCATCAAATTGGTTTGAGTTTTTAAACTAATACTCCATATTTTATATTATTTCTTACTAAAGTTTTTACATAAAGATTAAGAAGAAAATAGTTTAGTGAATAGTGCAGAGAAGTAAAAAGTAAGAGAGATTAGATGAAAAAGTAGGAAGAAGAAGGTGAAAAGCAAGGTAAAAGTTAATAAAATGGAAACAGAAGAAATAATAAAATACAGAGGGAGTATATACAGAAGAAACATAAGAAATAATAAACTAAAAGAATAGCCTAAAAAAGGTACTCTGTAAATAGAATGGAGTGATAAAAATAATTAAAAGCATCTTTTCTAGGACAGGCTAAAATTATAGATATGCATGCTCAAGACACAGTCATCTCTATCAAGACTAGAATCAAGACTTCGGAGTAGTCCAAAGATTTATATATGAACTTTTGACGGTTGGAATTTAGTATGCTATGATATCATATTAAGACTTAGATTTTTATCCTAAAGGTCAATCTGGTAGAAAACGCTTGACTGATATGGGATAGATTGACAATTTAGGCCTACCATGTGAAATGTGCAATTGCTAAAAACAAATACACACATCTCTATTACGAAGTACGGAGTATATTTTTAGTAGCTAAATTTAACATGATTATTTTTCATTTAACTATCCTGTAGCGTGCAAAAACATCTTACTGGTATCACAAAAAAAGCTTGTTGTAGGATTATCCTAATTAAGCTACAACAAGCTATACAGCGTTTAACAAAGTGACTTTCAAAACCTTTGATAATGCTGAATATGTTGATGACCATTTGTGCAGTTCCAGAAAATTAAGGATGCCATTGAATTACACAATACGGCACGTTGCAGCCTTGGCCCTCCTAAAGGTGTGGGAGATATCAAACTGGAAACCCCTTTGATTGCAAAAGACATACCAGATGAATCTTCTTCCCCTCCATGATATCTTGGTTAAAGGTCTCCCCAGAAAACATACCTTAGTTTTTGTGAAATCTGCAGGTTGGAGAAACAGTAGGATGTTCATATTATCACCTTATTCTTTTCTGTACTATAGAATCAATTTTTTGTGTTTATAGATAAAAGATTACTAGAGATGCAGTTTAGAATTAGTCCATTCTTTTATTATATGTTGTTCTGCTGCTTGAGTGACAATTTGCAGGCACTAAAATAATTAACAGTACCCCTAATAGTGATCATGCATGGTTTTATTTTTCTCTCCGTGGGTGTAATGGTGCTATGTAAAAGTATCTGTGAATATGGTAACTCTGTTTTTTTCTAATTGCTTCGATTAAATATAATTTTTTGATTGAAAGTAAAATTGTTGGGACATAAAAACATTTTACTACTATTTTGAAATTACAATGCACACAAGAGAAATGAGGCACCAGAGTTAAAACTGGGAATGCATCTCTTTCTTTAACAGTTGGCACTTTCGATTGGACTCATGCCCAATTTGAGTACAAATCAGTTCGTATAACGTGGGAGCAGCCCACAGTGAGCATGCTGCTCCCACGGGAAAAAGCGTGTTACTGTTCACGCGCGTGAACAGTAACTTCATTTTTGTTTTTTCATTGTCCCAGTAGCGGAATAGGTGTAACTCGCGTGTAACAAAATGTAACTCACGCTAATAAGAAATGTAACAACAAGCAAGTTGAAATGTAATTTGTCTAATACGAATTATAAGAAATAAAACATTGATTTTAATGAAAACAAGGAGTCTAATTGCTCAATTACTTTACTTAAATAGTTTATATGTTTTGTTTTCAATATTAAGGACATAATTTTTTTTTTACCTTTTTTTTGCCAAATTAAAAATCAATTTTTTGGCCAAAAACTCATTTTGTTTTTGCAAAAAAATGTAATTTTTTTATTCAATAGCAGGGGTTAACATAAATGTTGAATATATATTTTTTAATATTAAGTCCATAAAATTTTTTTTAAAAATATATTTTGTGCCAAAACACATTTTTTTTGGAAAACAGTTTTTTTTCATAACAATGATTCTTTTGTTGCAATAGTAGGCTTTATGTTGTGATGTGATTCATATTACAGAAAATGTAACTCGCGTTGATTGAAAATCTAACTTTAGTGTATGCAAAATGTAACTTGTTGAGGCAAACTCAAATGTAACGCGCGTATGGAAAGATGTAACTCACGCACAAGAAGATGTAAATCGTGCATAAGAAGATGTAACTCCATATAATATCAAATGTAATTATAGAAATAGTCTATAAACATAACTCACACATACGAAAAATGCATTATTCTCATGTTTTTTTCAAATTTAAATCGAAATAAACAACCTTAATGACTATAAAACACAAAAAACATATAAAAGAGATAAGAAATATATTATAGAAAAAAGTATATGAATATAAAAAATATTTTACAAAAAATGTGTATGAATATGAAGTACAATATACTTGTGTTTTTTATTTATTTTGAGTTTAGGAATATTTTATTGTTTTTAATAATAAATATAAAAAAAGTATACAAAGTAACAAATAGTGTATGAATATGAAATACAATATACTTATTTTATGTGGTTTAATAAAATTTTGTATTAAATTGGTAAAGAAAAAAATTAATTCAGTTATAATTGAATTAGTTCAAAATAAAGATAAGTAAAAAATAACAAATAATTAGATATAACTCACAAATAATACATGTAACTCGCGAATAAAAGTATGTAACTCGTGTATAAGAAGATGTAACTCACACATAACAAGATGTAACTCACGCATAATAACTTGTAACTGGAGTATAAGATGATGTAACTTTGTATATTATCAAATGTAACTCCAAGCTAGAAGCAAAATAAACAAACTCAAGATCTTAAAAACCTCTAAAAACATACTCCGTATAAAAGTGATAAAAAAAATATATTATAGAAAAAGTGTATGCATATAAAAATATATTACAAAAAAATGTGTAAATGTAAAAAAGATATTACAAAAAATAGTGTATGAATATGAAATGTAATGTACTTATTTTATTTAGATTATTAAACTTTTTGTTATGTATTGATAAAGAATTAAAAATTAGATTCAATTATAATTTAAATTGAAGATAAGGAAAGTAAAACTACAATTAAATTTTTAATATTTTAATTTGATGGAAATGAAGAAGAATTAAAGAAAAGAAAAATAAGGAAAGAATAACAAAAGAAAAAGGAATGAAGAAGTTCCAGGGAAGAATAAAAAGGAACGTAACTTGTAAAAGTGGGATCGGCACACCATGCGGAAGGTGGGCCGATCCCACTGTATAATTTGCCGAGTCCAAATGTATATGTGAATGCCGGGAATTAAGAGCCCATTTGGTACCTCTTATTTTCAATTTATTAGTGCACTTTTTCCCAAACATATAATTTTGGGAGAACTATAAAATAAGCACTCGAACTTTCATAAAAAGTGCAAATAAGCCCTTTTACAGGAGGCTTTGTCCGGCCGTCTCCATTTGGGGCGGTTTCCTGCGGAACTTTTTGATGAAATTCTTTAAGCATTTTCTGCATTAAGTCTAGTTTACCCATACAAAATTTTAGCTAAAAATTCAATCGAGAAGGCAGTCAAATGATTTTCTGAAATATACTGCGCTGCCAAACTGCGCAGTTATCTTCAAAAATTCATTTGATTGCGTTTCTGATTGAATTTTAATCTGAAATTTGGTATAGTAAACTAGACTTAAAAAATTTCATCAATAAATTATACCGGAAACCGTTTCAAATGATGATGGCCGGACAGAGCCTCCCATAAAAGGGCTTATTTGCACTTTTTATGAAAGTTCGAGAGCTTATTTGAGAGTTCTCCCTATAATTTTTTATTTCGCTCAATTGAATAGTTTAATACACAATAATAAAAATAGACGTTTTTCCTAAGATATTACTAATTAAAAATCTATGGACAAAAATGTGATCATAAGTTATCATTGTGAGTTTTATTGTCACTATCATTTAACATTTGAATACAATTATAGTTATTTAAGTTATTAGTCACATTTTTGTCCACTACTTTTTTTTTTGGTGATATATTTGGAATTGTTTCATAAAAATAAGTAAGGTTGATTTTAAACCTAAAAAAAGTAAGGTTGATTTTATTTTTCTAGCTAAATTGATACAAGTTGCAATAAATGATCCTTTTAGCTATATTTTCATATAACTCTTTCTTAATATTAATAAAATGTGTTTTAAATGTAATTTTTCAATAGTTATATGGATTCAATCATTTTAGTTAGAACTTTGATTAATTACAACAAATTCAAAACGCGATTTAGAGGAAGTAAAAATTGTTCCTTGAGCTGAAACGAAAGACTAGAGAAAATGAGTACCATGAAGTTTTGCTATGAATGGTTAGTTTCTTGAAATAATTTCAAATTCTTCTTCACTAGGCATAGTGTGTGTTCACCTAACTATGTTGAACAGCAACAACATTCTGTACCCAAAGGAAGACAAAGACCAGAAGATCCTCCTCTATGCATGTCGTAATTGCGATCCCTATTCACCGGTCGTACAAAATCTTTGTATATCTCCGTACTTGAGCCTGTATATCTCGTTCTATGAGTTAGTGGTGAATTATTTTAGGGTTTAGCTTCACATTTAATAATTAAGGACCCAACTTTTATCTACAACCGTGATTTCTCTCGTGAAAAATGTTTTTCTTATTTCATGACCTTTATTGACAACAGAAAAATGTTGAAATGTTGGTACAAAAGAAAAATGTAACGGCACTAGGTCAATAGCAACAGACTAGTAAGTTGAAACTGTTTTTGTGTGTGTAATTAATACAAAAAAGCCTTTTGTACACACTCTTACTCTTGTACACACTTTTACACACGTCAGTGAAGGTAAAAGTGTGTAAACAGTAACGTGTGTACAACAAGAATTGTTGTTAATAATAGCAAGAATCAAAAGCATACTAATGAAATACTTTTGTTCTTTTTACCAAACAGTAAACAACAATTTTTACCAAACCTCTACACAAGCCGCTAATACAATCAGCCAACCTACCCGACTAAAATAATACGTTATCTGCTGAGTGTTGTTAATCTGTCATCCTCCCACCTGTTTTTCCAAAGAATAAATTTCACTTTTGGCCCTACGAGAATTATAAAAAACCGACATTAGGTCCATTGTTTTTACTATAACCACTTTTGATACATGGCAATTCTTCCACGTTCACCTTGGTCCTTCCTTCTAAATTTCGGGTGCTTATAGTCACTTGTGGTGCGGTCCTTCCTTCTAAATTTCCGATGCTTATGTGCAATAAAAAGTAGTTGTATCAAATATGGGCAAAGTCAAATACATAAACCCAATATGGAATTGATGTAATAGTTGTAGGATCAAAAGTGCAATTAATTATATTCCATACAACGCCTTTGAGTAATTGTTTGTTGATGCCCGGGAGATTGGGTACTTTGAAGCTAGAAGCCACACTTTTGGCTAGCCTCTTACTACTGTCATATTTATTTTGATGCACTTTCCAATGATGCATAAACAGTGTAAATCTAGACCATCGTAAATAAATAAAATATCTACAAAATCTATCCAAATAGAAACAGAGAATAAGTAACAAAAGATTTGTCATATACTCCCTCTGTCCCTTAAAACTTTGCCAACTTTCCTTTTTTGGTTGTCCCGTTAACTTTGCCATTTTCCCTTTTAAGTAAAGAATATGTGTTTCAAGTTAATTCTTTCTCCTTTGCAGAAGCCTCAACCATTCAGTTTTTACTTTATTAATCCCCGTGCCAGTCAAACTTGGGAAAGTTTTAACTTCTAATGGACGGATGGAGTATCATTTATCACTTGGCAGAGAAGCAATAGTTTGTCTTTGCAAAAATGCATAATTTCAAATAACAAGGCATGGTTTTGGATATTTATCTTTGTCGTCCCCATATTCTTTATTTTACATGAATAGGCGAAGGGAATTATTTGCAATAGTGGTTTACTATCAATTCTTTTCCACCAATTCTTTTTTATTGACGTATGCTTAGTCTTAGGCCTTTGTTGTATGCTTGTGTCACTTATATCCAACATGTATGCTTTGTAATTATGTTACATCTCAACCTTTATTATCACTACTATATTTTTTTCTATTTAGACACTCGGAAATGGAACTGTTTTCCAAGAGGGGAGGTGAATGTTTGTGAATAAATGTGTAGAAAAACTATGCAAGAATAAAACAGAGTAGTATGAAATATATGAACAAATAATCACATGTCCATATGGTAGAGATTTTTTTGAGTGTACTTGAAAGTCTGAAACAAGTCATCATATTCTCTACACAGCTGAATAATTATGTTCATCCTGTGACTTTCTATATAATTTGAAAAGTGGGCATGGCCACCTTAGGTAGAAAAATGCATAAACCATCACAAATCACAAGTTTTATCATCAACATTATTTTGATTAGTAAATACACATGCAGTTATGATTTTTCTATTCTAGTTTGCGAATGCATACATTGTTTCTTGAATAGTCTCTGGTAGCAATGTTCGAAATTGCGCAATAGTATCCCCTCCTTGAGGCACCCCTTGCTGATTTTCGGCCAAAATGCAATGAAAGGTGTAACCTAATTGACGCCATAGAATTGAAAGGCATACGCCTTTTGGGGAGAGACGTATGTTCTAAGGCGGCGCTATAGGGCGAGGTGAAATCGTACGGAATAGAAGGACATTGATTAAATGAAATAATTGAGCCAATAAGTATTTCAATAATTGACAATATCTGCTCCTACCATCTCCTGTTCTATCTCTCGCTTCTCACCTCTCGCTTCTGGTATTTATCTCTGTGTCTCGCCACACTAGTTGAGCATCTCGCCATTGACTCCCGCAATGTAGCTCTGCCGCAAGTCACGAGTCGCAACTCCCCCAAGTTATCCAAGGTCTCACTTGTAGGTTTATAATGACTTTGTATTTATTCAACTTCTTTAATTATGTGGAAATCATTAAGTCTTTTGTTTAATTAATGTTTTCATTTACATGTCGTGCTTTTGTTGGTAAATTTTTGGTATGTTGTAAGTTTGTATTGCTTCTATGTCTTAAGTTTCTTTAAATTGCCAATAATTTTAATTGTGTAATTTTAAATTTAATTATATTAAAGATATATAGAGTATATAATTACATTAGAAACATTAAAGTATATGTTGATAATAAACTAAGAATGTTACCTTAAATAATTTGCATGACGTCATGTTTGAACTCACAAGTTACATTACTTTATGACATTACTGTTTGTTTGTTTATGAAATCTGTTGTTTTGGTTTAATATTTACTACCTCTGTCCCTTAAAACTTTGTCAAGTTTGACCGGCACGGAGAATAATAAAGTAAAAACTGTGTGGTTGAGGTTTATGTAGAGGAGAGAGAAATAACATTAATTACAAAATAATTGATTAAAAGGAAAAGTGCCAAAGTTTATCGGGACGTCTTCAAAAGGAAAATTGTCAAAGTTTTAAGAGACGGAAGAAGTACTTTTTATTATTTCAAAATTTTTATATGCTCAAATTTCCTACAAATTAAGATTTACGCCTCATCTTTACGCCTCAATGAGCCATGAGGCTTTCGCAATACCTCAAAACCGCCTAGTAAACACAATCCACAATTTCGAACATTGTCTGTTAGCCCACTTTTGGCATTGTAAATCCATTAAATATCTGGTTATACAGTAATGTGTACTTCTATCAATTAATTAAACTTCAACTAGTGGGTTTTGCATTAACAATGACTCAATTAGCCATTAGGATTGCTTGATTATATCGAGTATCTTTGTCTCTCCTTCATTGCTCTTTTTCATCAAAGACATCTAAAACATGGAGGTGATCCATTTTACGTTAGCTTATTTGATTTCATATATGTGTTTGTTTGTATAAATCTGGACTTATAGCTTACTTACCGTTTCCTAGCTCTAGCTTCATCAATAATACTCCAATTTAATATTTGACAAGAGGTTGCTGAAACCAGTTGTGTGTATAGAAACGAAGCATTTCATTCTGTTGGTGAGAAAACAATAATCTTACATGATGTAACTGCAGATCCAACACTCCCTCGCACTAAAGCTGTGACATGTTCTCAGTGTCTTCATGGAGAAGCTGTCTTCTTTCAGGTCTTTATTCATATCTGTATTCCCGGCTTAGTCGTGCTATTCTTGACCATCACATAGTCTCCCTCTATTTCATAAAATTCTTCCGAGTGAGAATAACGTGGAAATGTAGGGTTGTGGTTGAGTAAGAAAAAGGAAAATGAATGTTAGCCACAAAGAACTTTCTAAAAAAGGGAAATTGGAAGAACTTTTTGCGACATCTAAAAAAGGTCAACCGGAGTCAAACAAAGGAGTCAACGATCTCACGAATAGAACTAGAGACAGAGGACATGTTCTTCAGCGATGAGCCCGAGTCTTCAGATACTAACCACCACCACCACCACCACCACCACCACCACCACCACCACCACCACCACCACCACCACTACCACTACTACTACTACTACTATTATTATTATTTCTATTATTATTATTATCATCATAATAATAATAATAATAATAATAATAATAATAATAATAATAATTATTATTATTATTATTATTCCAGCTCGATGTGGTCTGTTCTGTTTTGGTCTGGTCTGGTCTGATCTGCTTCGGTGTGGGATTGAAATCAGACCAAGTAAAACGATAACAATTTTCGATAATTTGGAAGGAATATTATTATTTTTAATTATAAATGAATAAAATATAATTATTTATGGATTATAAAATATACATAAAAAATAAAATCTTTATGCAAAAAATATAAAAAATAAAATTTCAGACCAGACCAGACCAGATCAAAACAGACCAGACCAGACCAAAACAGACCAGACCAGGCCAGATCAGATCAGACCAGCAAATTATAGTCCAAGTAAAAACATCCTTACATAGTGTTAGTGGCGGATCATTGTGAGGGCAGGGGTGGGCTCAAGCCCAGCCCAATTTTTTATTTATATATTAATATAGGTATAAGTTTGATTACCGGCCCACCCCAAAATTAATTCCCAGCCCAGCCCAAGCCTAATCCAAGTGTCCAACTATTCCACTGATCCACTCACCTGGGGCCTTCTGATCTGCGAAGATTGAAGAACGAAGGTCGAAGAAGAGCCTAGCAGCTTGCGACACAAGCCGACCTGCAGCCACCAGCCGCACTGTCGGACGCCGTCGCCCACTCGGCCGTGTTTTCTCTCCGGCTCTCCGCTCTGCCTATAGCTCCTGAGCCCCAGCCTCTAGGTGACCAGGTATACTCTAGCTTTAAATTTCTAATATTCTTTTAGACTTTAATTAATCGAATTTTTCAGGGTTATTGTGTATTGTTGTTGTGTATTGTTATTTTTAGGGTTAGAGAATCAATTCGATAATTAATTGAATTTCTCAGTTCATAACAAAATAGTGTTTATTCATTATAAATTTATAATGATTAAAGATAGAATTAAAGATTAGAGAATGATTTATTTATTATACAATTGAAGAATATTGATTGATTTATTCATCGTGTGGACATGTAAGAAAGAATTAAAATTTTCAATTAAATTTTGAAATTGGGAATATTTATTAGTTTTATGTACAACTATTGTTTTTTCTTATTAGTTTTATAATTTTATAGAAGTGTTTTAATTCATACCAATACTAAAAATGTTTTTTTAGAATGGATAATGATTAATGAACATATTGCTAAGAAAGGAAAGAAGTTAATTTTGTCATTCTTTCCAAAAGCGAATCGTCAAAGTGGTGAAGGAAGTTTTGAACCTATACCTACGATAATGCAAGATCTACGAAATGAGGTTCCTCCACAAGACCTAATCCCTGAAATCCAAACTATCTCAAATTTGGAGCTGCCTCCATCTTTTTGCATTAATAGATGTAGATTCTATATTATTGATGAATTTTATACTTTGAAGTCAAGTAGGGCTCAACTTAAATGATGTTTTGATGAATACTTAAAGTGTTGACGACTTTCAGTATTACTATGTGTGTGTCTTCAAATTTTATTTCTCAGCCCACCCCATTGTAGACTTCTGGATCCGCCCCTGCATAGTGTAGAATTACTAAACATTAAAATACTCCGTAAGAAAGAAGGTTCCATAATATAGCAAATTTTGATTCCACAATCTGAAACTATAGTATGATTAACCAATAACCAAGTCCAGCTTATCTGGAGTAATCCTAATGGTCCACCTAGACAAAGTGATATTACAAGTACAATCAAACTCCAAGTTACTCCAACCCTTAAAACCTGAAGCACCAATATAATTGTGAAGAATTGAGTTTCATTTTTTCTAAAGAAAAATCAAACTGTAGATAGAATACCTATCGAGCCATAATATATAGCAAACTATGGTTGCAACAAAAATAAACCTGAGACAATGTGTGATTAATTAAGTTGAACTTATAAGCAGTAGCCTTAGTAGTCCACAAAAACAAGGCAAAAGAAAGTGAGATGCAATCAACCAAAAGTAGGAAGAAACACGAGGTTATAAGTTCAATAAGTTTTTCTGCTGATCATTGATAGCCCTCTGAATTCATGCCCCACTTCTTTGCCTTGGAATTTCCTCATTTCTCTAAATGTGTGACTGGAAGTAGACGCCTCTATACTTTGACTATAGGTGGCTGAGTTGTTGTTGTATATATAAAGTTAGGTTCTTTTTTACCTCATTTGGAGGTACACTGCTAACACACATTCAACCTGGATCATCATTGTCACTAAATGGATACTTACCATCGGTGCATCTGTTTTGATCGTCATTTCTAACGTCTTGTGCAGCCCGCCATTCACTGTCGTACTCGTTGCCAGTAACGTTACTTTCTATCAGTTGGCCTATGCTGCTACTCCTACTAGTTTGCTCGCTTTCATCCCTACTATTCCAGTATTCCTTAATGGATCAAGAACAAATGGAATACCATGTATCCATTCAGATGTATACTTTGCAATCGCTATAGGCATTCTCAGAAAATCTACATCCAGCTAATCAAAACCTATACCTTCTTCATCTTGTGTTGCTTGAAAATCCATATACTACGGAGGCTTTCTAAACATTAAAGGTTTCAAAATTAAGTAAAAGACTTTCTAATTCATATAAGGAGTAATATAGTGTAAAATTACTAAGCATTAAAATAAGAAAGAAGGTTCTAATGTAAAAAAAGCCTAAAAGGCTTGAAATATGTACTTGGAGTAAATTATATTCAAGGAAAAGAGGACTTGAAAAATATTTGCAGTCATACTCGTGGAAAACTGCCATACTAGTTCCAGTTTGTGCTATGTTTTAGGACGTCCAAAGTGATGTCCCTTGCGGTTACTCTTTTTATTTTGTCCCGTCACCAAGTGAACAATGCTTTCTACATCAAACAAATATTTAGAAATGTAGTTTAATTGAAGTTTGCATGAGAGGGAGTTTGGCATCGACAATTTCAAGCTATCTAAACTTAGGAACCTTTCATCCATTTCCTTCTACCTTCTTCACATAGTTGGGAGTAAATATATAGTCGGTAGTACAAAAGTACAAAACAGCCTGTATTGAAAAAAAAACTCACTCCATTTTCCGGGTAAATTAATGGCAATCACGCGTACTATCTGCTTTCAAAAGTAGTAAAAAACTAAAACAAAATAGAAAAAGTTGGGATGCGCTAAGCTATCAAAATGAGTGGGATCAGTTAGTTTTCTTTTCTTCTCCATTCTGTGTTGTGACGCCTGTGCTACTGGTGGCTTTGTCATCTTCCTCGCCACCAAACCCGAATTCGTTAACCCGTTTTCTATCCACGGGATAAACCCACCTTTGGTACAGGTATATGAGAAATATCAAATCTGTATAGAACGAGACATAAGACGGAAGTAAGCAGCAAGTCCAAGATATATTATCACTAAATATCATCACTAAATGGTTTATAGAATTAGGGATTCCTTCATATATTTCTTGAAATGTAAAAAAGAAAAGAACATCATAGTTTTATACTATATTCAGAATAATAAATTCCAGGGTACTCTTTAGGACTAATGACATTGTTTTGACATGGCAAAGAAACAAATGCAAAAACTTGACATTACTCTCCATTTTCAAGTGATCTCATATAAGCAAATGATTACATATTGAGAAATACTCCACAATAATGAATTGATAAAAAGATAAGCAGACACAGAAAATGTGGGTTGATCTATATATAGTAGAGATGATATCTGTTTATGTAAAATGAATAAGAGAGTAATATTTGAGATTCTTGTGAACTTTCAAAAAACTTTGCTATATTTACAGTACCAGAATTGCTCTGCACCAAATTAACCAAAAAAGAATGGATCAGATCATTCTTTAGTAAACCTTACCATCTCGAAAGACGGAGAGGCGGTGCAATGTAGGCATCTTTATCACAAATGCAAAGAGATCGTCAATGATTTTATTCAGGAACTAAGTAGCACGGTAACGGGAAACGGGAAATGTCGGAAACGCCATTTACCAAAAATACAGGACACGAAACGCGGGGGAAACGCGCAAATATTAAAAATATAGGGGTTATTTTATAAATATTATATATATATATATAAATTTGTGAATTTATTTTTATATGTGTATATATATATACACTCCGTATATATTTACACACATACACATATATATGTAAATTAAAGTAGCAACTTTTGCTGCGTATAGTACTATAGTACTCCACTACTGCCATATTCCTATACTCCGTATATCATACACATTTACATGTTTAAATGAATGAAAAATGTTTAATAAATTTCATAATCACTTCGTGGACAGCTGGACACCATCAAGTTCAGTGTACTAGGCCAAGTCTACAACATTACTCATACTACTCGCACGTTTAATTTCAACCCCAAATCCCACCCACCGACTCAGGGGAGAAGTGTGCTGTCGAGAAACCAAATCAGACCCAAGTACAAACAGAGCCGGACAGCTTGAGACGGCAGATAACACAATCTACATAGCAGAAGGAGAAAAGATTGTGTCTTTCCTTGACCTGCTGAAGACGAAGAGCGCAGATACTAATAGGATCTTCGCTGAAGACGGCCAATCACTGAAGAAGAAGAAGTCCGCAGATACTCCGCATATTTCTAATTTCTTTGGTTTTTCTTTTTTGGTGAAACTCTGTTTTTGGGGGAAACGGGTTTCCAAACTTTTGAAAATTAAGAAACGGGCCCGACACGCGTTTCGGACGTTTCTCGCGTTCGGAAACGTCAGTACGTTTCCGATACGGGGAAATGCTGGCCTTTCCACGTTTCCGGGCATTATAGTTCAGGAACTTGTAGGTCATCTGCCTCCAAGGCAGATGGGCAACCGACTTTAACTTATAGTTAATGAATAACTGAGGGCACATCATGATGAAACATGTTAAATGTGTCAGAAAAGAGGGAAATGTTTACAGAGAGAGAATACTTCACTAACATATATCAATAGCGGCTAGAGAACAGATAAGACATTTAACTTCCTGTGTGAAAGCTATAAAAAACACAGATTTAGGAAAAGGGTGCTTACCAAACATATAAACACAGCTCGAAGGGAAGAGAGAATCCAAGAGTACCAACTCTTGTGGCGTTCATACATTAGAGAGTATATTGCAAAGCATCCAGCCAATAAGAAGAGGAGATATGACAAATACTTCATGGCAAGATCATCATATTCTTTTGTCTTGTTCCCAGCATATGATTCACGATCTCAGAATCTCAGCATAGGTATCTTACCAGACCTGTCAATCTGGGATAAAGATCAGGAAAGAAATACATAAGCTTATCATAGATAGCAAACATAATTTGCAATATCAGTACATTTTTTATATCCAGTAACCACTACATTTAATATGGCTCAACTATATCACAGATTCAGTGTACTGAATACTGCAACTGAGTGGCTTAATGTTTCAACATATTAATCCTATTTGATGATCTTCTATAAAAATTACAAAACACCAAAGAGCAGTGAAGAAGGGGGATATTTCCATAATTGTGGTATGCTAAATATCCCATCCTACAAAACAACACATATGTATAGCCTTTGAGTTGAGTGTCTATGGAATGACTAATGCATTTTTTGAACTGGTTGAGTAATCAAAAGTCTAAACCAACACACTCATGTGCTAAACAAGAAAAATGACTCAGACGCTCAGTCAGTCAGTCAGTCAAGTCAGTCTACCACTCAGACCAGCCATACCTGCACAATTGACCGGTTTCGTCAAATAAAATCTTCCAATAGAAACCATGTTTTTTTGCAAAGCAACAAAGAACACTGAGACT